TTCTTCCCCTCCCCAGCGCCTGGCACCCCCATCTACTTCCTGTCCCCATGAATCTGACTCCTCTAGGGACCTTGCATACGTGGGATCACACTGTATTTGTCCGGTGGTGCCTAGCTCTTTCTCTCAGCACGTCCTCAAGCCCATCCATGTTGTGGCATGTGTCAGAATTTCCTTCCCTTTGAAGTCCTTCTTTTCCTCTTGTTATTTTTTCCTTGTTCTGACCCCGTGAGGCATCTCCACTTTACAGATGGGGAAACTGAGTCTGAGAGAGCCATTGAGGAAAGTGCTCAAGCGACAAGAGCTAGGGCGCGAACCTGCCAGAGCCAGTTACTCTGCTTCTGTGCTAACATCTCCCCTACGTGGTCAAGGGCTTCTCCTTTTAAGAGGAAGATCTTGGTCCCAGTTCCATTCCTGATCAGGGCACATGCCCGGGTTGCAGGCTCAGTCCCCAGTGAGGGGTGTGCAGGAGGCAGCTGATGGATGTCTCTCATCGATGTTTCTCTCTCTTTATCCCTCCCTCTTCCTCTCTCTCTAACATCAATATCAACATATTTTTTAACGAAAGAAAGATCCTGGGAGGAAAAGCCGTAGGTCAGGGTGTGGGTTATAAGCAACAGAAGCCCGGTGAATATTCAGGAAGCAATAGAAAAGGAATTTATTTTTATTTTTGCGAAACCTCACCAGAGGATATTTTTTCCATTTAGAGAGAGTGGAAGGGCGAAGGGAGGGAGAGAGAGAGAGAAAAAGAGAAACATTGATGTGAGAGAGACATTAATTGGTTGCCTCCCTCACATCCCCAGATGCCTGGGGCGGGGATCGAACCTGCAAGCCAGGTATGTGCCCTTGACTGGGAATTGAGCCTGCAACTCTTCGGTGCCTGGGCTGACACTCTAACCACTGAGCACACCAGCCAGGGCCAAAGAAAAGGAATTTATTGGCTCATGTAACAAGCGGGTGGGACCAAGTTTCCTCTGCTGCTCCTGGATATCGGTCCCTCCTCCCTGGGTATTGGTCCCTCCTCCCCGAGCTGTGAGCTGCACAGGGTGCCCCGGAGGCTGGATGCTCCCAGGGCTGAGTCATAGGGTCAGAAGAGGCTCCTTCCTGTCACAAGCACCTCAGGACCTCCCCCTAGTTGGGCCAGGAGCCACTGGCACACCCCTGGAATGGGATGGGATTCGCTGTACTCAAGGCACGTGGACCCCTGAGAGAAACGGGGTGCTGGTCCCCCAGAGATAGGAAATGGATGTGGCCGGCAAATCCCCAGAGAGCTGCCAGTGCCCAGCACAGGGTGGCGTGGGCTCTGACCGTGTAAGCGTGCAGTGGCGGCCGGCATCCCTCTGATGCCCCGCCCGGGGGTGGGGCCACCTGCTTCCCTCCGCTCTGCTCTCTCCCTTCAGCGCTGCCCAAGTTTGAGCTCCTTATTGACCCGCCCCGCTACATCCGGGATGTGGACGCCTGCGAGACTGGCACTGTGCAGGCCAGGTGAGAAGGGGGGTCCCCCCACAGGCATGCCCTCTTCCTGTGGGATACCCCTCCCCCGTGGGCCTGCTCCTCCCCTTTGGAACATACCTCTCCCATAAGAGGCACCCTTCTCCAAACTGGACCCCTCCCCTGCTGGGTCCCCAAAGGTGTGGACGGAGTCGGCGAAGAAGGAATGACACAGAGACAGCGTTCAGTTGATCAGCAGCCTTGCCAGGATCTCTAGCCACAATCCCCAGCCAAGTTCTGTCTAGGATCTCCAGCGAAGTTCTGGTTAGGATCTCCAGCCAGGTTCTATGTCCATGTTCTCTTGCTAGGTTATCCAGCCAGGTTCTCCAGCCAGGTTCTGTCACCAGGTTCTAGGCAGGTTCTCTTGCCATGTTCTATCCAGGTTCTGTAGCCAGGTTCTGTCTCTAGGATCTTCAGCCAGGTTCTCTCGCTAGGTTCTGTCTCTAGGTTCTGTATCTAAGTTCTGTGTCCTGTTGTCTTGTTACATCTGTATTTATACCAGTTGATTCCAATGCTATCAATCTCTATTCCAAAGGTTAGGGCGTTTCTTATCTCCATTCCAGGGAGTAAAGATTATGTAGTTTAAGCATGATTGTTCATAGTTAAAGTGATTAATTACCTGCCTGGCACTTAGTTAAGGGGTTTTATTCCCTCCCTAACTTCAGGGGAAAATCCCTACCTGGAGAAACAACCTTTCTCAGAGAGGTGATCTTGGTTAAAACACATAGTGCCAAGAAGGTGAGCAAACATATTAAGAACAGTATGCCATATATGCCAGGTCCCTTGAAACAGCAAGGATGGACTAGCTCCCGGCACTCCCCCTTGGGTGTAGCCCTCCTCAGGTGTTTCTCTTCCCCCAAAGGCTTCCTCTCCCCCCTCCCCATCGGCAGCCCCACAGCTGTGGGCTGACCTGAGAGGGATTTCTAGCGGGGGCTGCCCCCTTAGTGGCCAGGCCTTTGACCCAGGCTGAAGTGCGGGGCTGACCAGGGTCATCAAGAGACATGTCCCTTTCTGGGGCTCCTTTGAGGCCCCTAGTCCGGCCCCAGCCCTGCTGCCTGCTGGAGGTGGTGGCCTGGCTCAGGCTGCTCTCTGGCCCGTGTGTGTGTTAAAATCCAAGGCTGTGCTTGACACACACACGTTTTCCAGTTTAGAAAATACGGTTGAAGTGCCTGGCATTATTTTTTTTTCACTACAGTCTCTCATTTTGCTCCGTGCCCTGGTAAGCAGGTGTCCCCTCTGCATGCCATTCAGGCATTTAAATTCCACCAACATCCCTGAGGTGGTAGTTTTATTCCCAACCTCGGTGGGGAAGCGGGAGCTCAGAGAAGTCAAGCCCCTAGTTCACAGCTGAGCTCGTAAGGGCACTTAGAACCAGGCCTCCTCGTGCTCCAGTGGTGTCACCAACCCCAGCGCTTGTCTCACACATCCTGGCCCAGGGTTTCTCTCTGATTCTCGGTCTCTTTTTCTGTCCAACATGAGGCTTGGTACCGAGGACTGCGGGGCCCCGAGGTTATCTGTCCTGACTCAGGGCGGCAGGAAAGGCTGGAAGGTTGGGCTGCAGGGTGGGGAAGCATCCTGCTGTGAAGGACAGGATCTTGGCACACATCCTTGAGTACTTCCCCCTAATAGCCACTAGGTCGCCTTGGACACCACCCTCGTCCAGCTGCTGTACCAGTGACCACCTGCTGCATGTGACATCAGCTACCCTTGTCCCTTTGTTCCAGGTATACCTTTGGGAAGCCCGTCTCCGGAACCTTAACAATCAACATGACCGTGAATGGTGTGGGGTACTATAGCCAGGAGATGGGGTGCCCCGTCCTCAGGACCATGAAGGTGAGGAGCAGCACCTCATGCTGTCCGCCCAGTGGGTCCCTTCACACAGCGTCTGCCCTCGGCTTCCGCTCTATTATCATCCATTTTATTTGAATTTCTAAAACAGTATACAGGGGGGATTTCCCCAAAGATAAAATTCTTGTGGACTGAACATGGAGACTTTAGAACATTCTTAAAAAGGAAGAAAATAACCATAACTTGTTCTCCAACAGTCTGACACAACCGTTATTGATATTTTGATGTGTTTCTTCCCGGGATATTGTATGTAAATTAAAAAAAACACCCCAGTTTTATTGAGGTATGATTCATGTACCACACAATTCAAATACCCACAGAGAGTGTATTGTTCAGCAGTTTGTAGTATAATCACAGATATGCACCCATCACCACTGTCTAGTTTTAGAATAGTTCCACCAAGCCTCCCAAATTTCTTTTTCTTTTTTTAATATTTTTTTTATTGATTTCAGAGAGGAAGGGAGAGGGAGAGAGAGATAGAAATATCAATGATGAGAGAGAATCATTGATCGGCTGCCTCCTGCACATCCCCCACTGGGGATCAAGCCCGCAACCCAGGCATGTGCCCCCGACTGGAATTGAACCTAGGTCCCTGCAGTCTGCAGGCCGATGCTCTATCCACTGAGCCAAACCAGCTAGGGCCTCTCAAATTTCTCATGTCCTTTTACAGTGAATTCCTGTCCCTCTCCAGCCCCTGGCAACCACGGCTCCACTTCCTGTGTCTGTGGATTTGCCTGTTTCGGACATTTCATATAAATGGGGTGATAGACTCTGTGGCCTTTTGTGCCTGCATTCTCTCATTCGCCTCACTTTTTCAGCGGTCACCCATGCTGCAGCGTGTCGGTGCTTCGCTCCTGTTTAACGGCTGGGTAATATTCCACAGCACGGGTGGGCCACAGTGCACTGACCCACTCATTCGCCGATGGACTTTGGGTTGTTTCCACTTTTTGGTGACTGTGGCCAGTGCTGCTCTGGGCATTCATTTACGAGGTTTTGTGTGGGGGATGTTTCATTTCTCTTGGGTGTGGC